CGACGCCGCCTGCACCCTCTGGCCCCTCTCGTCCGAGCTCTGCCCCCCACGCCCTACTGAAGGTGGCGCTCATGGAACCCCCCTGGAATCACCCAACCTTGCAACCTTTCGGCGGAGCCACAGGGCCTGGTTTTCACCGGGCTGGCGCCAAGGGCGACCGCCGCCTCCCAGCCGTTTTGCCACGTGACTGCGCCGGGCCTGGCTCTGGGGACGGGGCCGAGTGCGGCCCCAGGAACCTCTGGGAGAAGCCGAGCGGCCTGATGTCACTTGGGTCAAGTCCCTGGCCTCTTCCTGCGCTTCGGGGTGGATGGCATGTCCACACCCTCTGGCTTTCCCCGGTGCGGGAGGCCACCAGGACCGGACTCGACAGGGCCGGCAGCTGTGCTGGGTCGACGGTACCAACTGGTCCTTGGGCTCCGAGGGGTGCCCGGCATGGGATGCACCCCGTTAGAGTCTGCCACCTTTGGAGGGGGCGGCCTGCCTCTCTCTGTGCACTTCTGGCGCCTCTGAGGTGCCGTGAGCATCACAAGTGCTGGGAGGCCGGTGCTTACGTCTTTGGCGCCGGTGAATGGTGGTGCCATGGAGTCTTGGACACCGAGTCCTTCTGTGGCACCGGGTGCTCCGCACAGAGGACGGAGATGAGGCTGCTTGCTTCGGCACGGAGGCCTGCGGCATTGGGGGGATGGGAGAGCAGAGAGGTCTCCATGAGAAATTCCCTGAGTCTAACCCCTTTGTCCCGCCGAGTTCTTGGTGCGAATGCCTTGCGGAGCTTACACTTGTCTGCAAGATGAGCCAGTCCCGATACTCAAGGCAGCTTTGCGACGTTGTTGATAGATGGCACAGAAAAGAGTAAGTTGCAACTTTCCCAATTTCAATTTTAGCAGGGATGGAAGGCGAGGGGCTTCGTGAGGCAGGGATGGAAGGCGAGGGGCTTCGTGAGGCAGGGATGGAAGGCGAGGGGCTTCGTGAGGCAGGGATGGAAGGCGAGGGGCTTCGTGAGGCAGGGATGGAAGGCGAGGGGCTTCGTGAGGCAGGGATGGAAGGCGAGGGGCTTCGTGAGGCAGGGATGGAAGGCGAGGGGCTTCGTGAGGCAGGGATGGAAGGCGAGGGGCTTCGTGAGGCAGGGATGGAAGGCGAGGGGCTTCGTGAGGCAGGGATGGAAGGCGAGGGGCTTCGTGAGGCAGGGATGGAAGGCGAGGGGCTTCGTGAGCGGCGAGGCACAGAGGCAGGGATGCAAAGGGAGGCATTCGTTCTTAGATAAATGCTGGGGGAGGCCGAGCTGCCCTGGCCTGCGGAGCGCGAGGAGCACGGCCGGCATTCTTCCGTGCTGCGCAGGGCTGCTCGCCATTCCCTGTGAACACAAGCACCGCACAACAGCAGCCCGAGCCAGAGCACCAGACTCTGCACTTGAGCTCTGTGTGGGCTGACCCAATCCAGCACCTGCAGGTACTTCCCAGGACCTCTGCATGGGAGGGGGCTGAGGACACCGGAAATCCAATGAGGTTCAACAAGGACAAGTGCCGAGTCCTGCCCTGGGGACGGCAGAATCCCAGGCATTGGTACAGGCTGGGGCCGACTGGCTAGGTAGAAGTTCAGCA